AAGACCTGAGTTTGGTTCCCCGCACCCATGTTGGGCAGCTCACAAATGGCTCTGGCATCCCTGGTCACTAACACTCAAATATACAAACACACACAGACAGACACATACACACAGCAGTAAAAATAAATTTTAAATAAGAATAAGCTAGATGTAGTGGCAAACACCCTACCTGAGACAGGCTGGACCCACCTCCTTGATCCTTCTGCCCTCAACTTGACAGGATTGCGATTGTGGTATGCACCACCTCAGTTGGCCTAGCTTGAGATTTCTTGACATACCAAGCCCTACTCCCCAGGGTGCAAAAAGACTCATCAGTCACACTTTCCAAGAAAGGGCTTTTAAAAAGAATTCCCCTTTCCTTTTCTTTCTAAGGTTGTGCAGTCTTGAAGCAGCCTTCTCTGGGGTTCCTTAGGGCTAATGAGCTATACAATGGTTTCAGGTCACACTAGGTTGGTAGGTGAAATAAATCCTTTTGTTGCAGAAGGAGGTCTCAGCGTGACCCGGAGAGTCTTCCCTAAACCTCCTCACTTTGAGCAGACCCTGGACTGTCACTCTTGTATCTCTTTCCTGGGGCGGTTGACAAACCTAAATTCATGGGTTCCATATTTGTCAAGGCTCTCATGTCGTAAGTGGCTTTGGTGCTCAGGATATGAGTCCTTTTGTTTCTAGTTTTCACTCAATAACTGCCCTAGACATTCCTCACACATTAAAACATTTGTGTTTATAAGAATATGATATAACTAGGCATATTAGACATATTAGCTAGTTATTAACAGAAATGCCTGAAGATTTACCCAAGCTATGACCGTATTGGCCAGTTGTCTTGACGTGTGGGCCTTGGACATAAAAGTGCCAGAAGTGACACAGAACTGTATGGGTCTCATCTTCATCAGGTGTCGAGGTCTAGGCAGAACCTGGTGTGCAGACACTGGCTGGAGCCTGGCTGGATTCCTCTCTTCCCAGGTTTCTCATGCTCCAGTCAGGGTCTTGGATCTGATGCGGGTTCTGCATGGCTGTGATCACGTGTTTCATGCATCATTAGTGAGTTCTCCAGCACGCCACTCCATTTGAGCATACCTTTGCTTCACACCCTTCTTATCGTTAATGGAAGGCCAAGCCCCGCTACTTATCAGTGTTGGTGTCCAGTACTAGCAAAATGTGATGGAACTTCTCAGAAATCACTGGAGACTTGGTCACCAACTAAAAGCCATCATTCTCAACATTAAGGAAGGCAGCAGAAGAGTATATGCCTCTTGTGGAGAAGTAGAGGACCTTTCTACAACACAGTCTCTATTTGTATACATACAGCATGTGTATGTATGTATGTATATATATATATATATCCATTTGAATTCATGTGGTTGAACATGTATGATGGGTGCACATGTATCCATAAGGATGTGGAGGCTAGAGTTCAATCAATAGTGTCCTTTTTTAAAAAAAAATTGAATTTTGGGGCTGAGAGATGGCTCAGAGGTTAAGAGCACTGACTGCTCTTCCAAAGGTCCTGAGTTCAATTCCCAGCAACCACATGGTGGCTCACAACCATCTGTAATGAGATCTGGTGCCCTCTTCTGGCCTGCAGGCATACACGCAGACAGAATACTGTATACTTAATAAATAAATAAATATTAAAAAATTGAATTTTATTGAGCTCTACATTTTTCTCTCCTCCCCTCCCTGCCTCTCCCCTCCCTTCAACCCTCTCCCAAGGTCCCCATGCCCCCAATTTACTCAGGAGATCTTGTCTTTTTCTACTTTCTACTTCCCATGCAGATTAGATCTATGTAAGTCTCCCTTGTTCTCTGGGATTGTGGTTTGTAGGCTGGCTTTTTTTATTTTATGTTTAAAAACCACCTATGAGTGAGTACATGTGATAATTGTCTTTCTGTGTCTGTGTTACCTCACTCAAAATAATATTTTCTAGCTCCATTCATTTTCCTGCAAAATTCAAGATGTTGTTATTTTTTTCTGCCTTGTAGTAAGTACTCCATTGTGTAAATGTACCACATTTTCCTTATCCATTCTTTCTTTGGTCAAGGGGCATATAGGTTGTTTCCAGGTTCTGGCTATGACAAACAAAGCTGCCATGAACATAGTTGAGCACACATGTCCTTGTGGCATGATTGAGCATCCTTTGGATATATACCCAACAGTGGTATTACTGGGTCTTGAGGAAGGTTGTTTCCTAATTTTCTGAGAAATCGCCACACTGACACCCAAAGGGGTTGTACCAGCTTGCATTGCAGTGTGTTCCCTTTACCCCACAGCCTCTCCAAGCATAAACTGTCATCAGTGTTTTTGATCTTGGCCATTCTTACAGGTGTAAGATGGAATCTCAGAGTTGTTTTGATTTGCATTTCTCTGATGACTAAGGATGTTGAACATTTCCTTAAGTGTCTTTCAGCCACTTCTCTGTTGAGAGTTCTCTGTTTAGGTCTGTACTCCATTTTTTTTATTGGATTATGTGTTCTTTTGGTGTCCAATTTTTTGAGTTTTTTGTATATTTTGGAGATCAGACCTCTGTCTGATGTGGGGTTAGTGAAGATCTTTTTCCATTCTGTAGGCTGTCATTTTGTCTTGTTGACCGTGTCCTTTGCTTTACAGAAGCTTTTTAGTTTCAGGAGGTCCAATTTGTTAATTGTTTCTCTCAGTGTCTGTGCTGCTGGGGTTATATTTAGGAAGTGATTCCCTGTGCCAATGCGTTCAAGTGTATTTCCCACTTTCTCTTCTTCAAGGTTCAGTGTGGCTGGCTTTATGTTGAGGTCTTTGATACTTGAGTTTTGTGCATGGTGATAGATATGGGTCTATATTCATTCTTCTACATGTTGATATCCAACACCATTTGTTAAATATGCTTTCTTTTTTCCATTTGATATTTTTTACTTCTTTGTCAAAAATCAGGTGTTCGAAGATGTGTGGACTGATATCCGGGTCTTCTATTTGGTTTCATTGGTCCTCCTGTCTGTTCTTATGCCAATACCAGGCTGTTTTCAGTATTGTAGCTCTGTAGTAGAGTTTGAAGTCAGGGATTGTGATACCTCCAGAAGTTCTTTTATTGTATAAGATTGTTTGGCTATCCTGGGTTTTTTGCTTTTCCATATGAAGTTAAGTACTATCCTTTCGAGGTCTTTGAAGAATTTTGTTGGGATTTTGATGGGCATTAAGTTGAATCTGTTCAATGGTGTCCTTTTTCAGGAGCTGCCTACCTTGACTTTTGGGGACTGGTTTGCTTACAGAGGTCCACCAATTAAGCTAGGTTGGTGGGCCAGTGAGCTCCAGGGGTCTGCCTGTCTCTGCCTTCCCGGCACTGGGATTACAAGCACACTCCACTACACCAGTTTTTCCCTTGGGTTCGGAGGACTGAATTCAGGTCCTCATGCTTGAACAACAAGCACTTTACTGACTGAGCCACCTCTGCAGCCTCTCCCATCCTTTCAAGACAGGTTCTCCTGTATCCCTAGCTGGCCTTGAACTCAACTGTGTTTATATAACTGAGATAACCTTGACCCTCTGAGCTACCTACTTCACCTCCCTCATCCTGGGATTACGCTGGAGACCAAACTGGGGGCTTCCTGCGAACGATACAGCACTCTCCCAACACACCCCTAGCCCAGAGACACTGGTTTCTAATAAACGATTTTTAGAGGACTAACTGAATAAACTAGTTGTTCATTACCAAAGAAAGATCCAGTTTTGGTGATGCAACAGGTTCAACACAGTTCACCTCTTTTACTGACCCCTGACACTATCTTCTGATACTAGCCCAAACAATACAAGTAAATATCACATTGTCTTGAGTACCCAACTACAGCCACCACTCAAAGTGTTACTGCCACCTAGTGACCTCTATACACAGTAACATTATCTGTAAATGTCACTTATCAGCGTTCTAGTAGGGCTAATTTAATATCTTACTGCTTCTGTAAACTCACATTGGGTTCTGGAGTCACAGAAGACAAGCAGCTTTCTGGTCCCAGGAAAGTGACAGTCTGTGTGAGGTTGGGCATTGAGCAAGTGGCAACCATTACCAAGTGTGAGGAGTTCTACAGAGGAAAAGAACAAACAAAGCAACAGAAAACCTAGGCTGCCTGACAGGCAGTGCTGACCCACGCCTTTAATCCCAGCATTAATCCCAGCACTCGGGAGGAGGCAGAGGCAGGCAGATCTCTATGAATTCAAAGCCAGCATTGGTCTACATAAGGAGTTCCAAAACAGTCAGAGGTACACAGAGAAACCTCGTCTCGAAAAACAAAAACAAAAGAAGCAACAACAAAACCTGGGCTAATACATCAGCTGTGAGCAGTGCTGCTGTCTGTGGGATATCCTGCAGGATTTTCTTGATTAGATGATACCGGAACCTACACCTGAACACCGAGAGGAAGTCGCCATAGAAAGTACAGGGCCAATGAATTTCAGTAGGAAAGTAGCAGGTGCGGCTCCTCTAAAGTAGAAGGGTTCTTGGGATACTCCAGGAAACTAAGCCGGTAAATTGGAGAGAAGGGAGGATGTGGGACGCTCCTGGGGACCCTGAGAAAGAGTTTGTATTTTAAAGATAGATTGAAAACAGGTATTATCGCACAAGTCTGCAATCCCAGCAAGTGGGAGGTAGGACCAAACAACGAGAAGAGTGACACGTGATTTATGCTCTGAGAAGTTATCTGCCATACCTGCTAGACATTGGTGTCACTGGTGTGGTAAGATCAACAACGTCACCTCCCAAAGTCACCCATTCCCTCCTAAGCCTCACAATGAACCAAAGGTCTCCCTATGAAATTTGCCTTCTGATTGGTCGAACCCTTCCGAGTCACAATGGTTGGTTACCAGCTCTCCTTTCTCTTCCAATCAGACTGCTATTCCAAAGAATGAGAGCGGCTCAGCCCCCTGCTGACCAGTGCGCTCTGTGACTGGCTCTCTTCTATGAGTGACGGTAGACTCAACCTATAGTTACAACGACAGGGCGTTGCTCCCTCCCAATGCAGTGGGCTGTGCAGCCAGAACGCAGGGCTGTCAGTGCGCGTCCAGCCAGGACCCTCGACTGAGTGCTCCGGTGCTATGGCCGCCCCTGCGCAGCTGCAGGCTCTTCTCAAGGCTGTCAACACTCTGCTGCGCAAGCGCCGCTACCATGCTGTGTTGGCCTTGCTTAAGGGCTTCCGGAACGGGGCTGTGTGAGTGGGGCCGCGGAGTCTGGTCAGGGCTGGGGGACGGGCCTGGCTGGAGTCGCGAATTCGAGGCCCGGTGTCATTTCACTGTGTGCTCTCTAGGAGCTCTCGGGTTTGATTTCGGTGCCCCGTTGGTGCAACCGGAGTAGGCTTCTGGGTTCCTGTCACCGTTTCAGTCCTGAGCTGTGGCTCACCCTGTTCCTCTTCTGTGTTCTGTGTGCTTTATAACCTGGCACTCTTGACTTAGTGGCTTCCTGTGCCAGCACCTGTAACTTCTCATTTGTGTCCAGTTCATCACCTCATCTTGCCTTATGCCCTTTGGCCTATTTGGCTTTGGTGGCCCTGTATGCACAAAAGAAACTGGACTCAGTCATTTAGCAAGCAGGTGGTCACCTACTGCCTAATAGGGTCCTTCTGTTAAGCTGCCAACAGGTTCCCATCCTGTTTCTCATCCATATGACTTCACCTCGGCCCTCATTTTCCTGGGGATTCTTGGGAAGTGACAGTGAATGTAAGAAAAGGCGCGACTATTTGCTGGGCGGCTTAGTCTTCACTCCCTCATACCGTAGGAGAGGAGGTCTTGGGGTCATTTTGCTCGACTGGTGCCTGGGGGGGCAGCACATTGCATTAACAGTTATTGAGGGGCTACTAGACCAGAACTCTCAGTGACTCAGAGAAGAAACCAAAGTCCCTAAAGTTGACATCCTGGTAGCAGTGTGTGGCACCGTTTTGAGTGTGTGAACTGCCGGGATTTAACACCTGGTGTCAGTTACTGGAATCTAGATCTTGAGAAGGTCATTTAGCCTTTCTGAGCCTCCTCACTTTCTAGAATGCGGGCCCCACGGAGCACTGTGTGGCACTGCTTGAGGACGTGTCGGTGTGTGTGAAACACGGAGCCTGTACCTGGTGTGCATTTGCCAAGTGGTGACTGTTGTTACAGGCACCTGCTGCCTACCTGCCCCACTAACCCTTTGAGGTCTCTGCTTGAGCGCTACCTCCCCACTGAGGCTTCCTCTGAACTTCCCACCCTGTTCCCTACCTTGTCTCTCTGTAGTGCTTGCCATCAGTGGACGCCGACTAGTCTCGCTCCATAGTCCACGCCTCACACTGGAAAGCGTGCTTCATTTGGCCGTGGGGTCCATGCCTCTATTCCCAGCACTTAGGAGGCTGGGACAGGAGGATGAATGTGAGTTTGCGGCTGACTAGCGCTAAGTAGTGCATTCCAGATACCCCGGGTGCTAGTGTGAGACCCTCCCTCCACAAGAGAACAAGATGAGCTTCACAGAGCACACGTTTTACCTGTAGTGTCCCTCTGTGTGTCCTGTTACTCCCTGCAATAGGTATTTAAACTTTTCTTGGATGAATATTTGAAAACTAGGAATTTCTCTTGTCTCTGCCTTTCAGATGAGTGAATAGTGGCTAGGGGAGGCATGCCGATTGCCCCTGCTCGCATCGAGTGTGGGTACAGTCGGGATGCAGACTTGGTAGCTAGGGTATGCTGATTGCCCCTGCTCACATCGAGTTAGGGGTACAGTCAGGATGCAGACTCAGTGGCTGGGGAGGCATGCCAATTGCCCCTGCTCACATCGAGTTAGGGGTACAGTCAGGATTCAGACTCAGTGACTGGGGTATGCTGATTACCCCTGCTCACATCGAGTTAGGGGTACAGTCAGGATGCAGACTCAGTGGCTAGGGGAGGCATGCCGATTGCCCCTGCTCACATTAAGTTAGGGGTACAGTCAGGATTCAGACTCAGTGACTAGGGTATGCTGATTGCCCCTGCTCACATCGAGTTAGGGGTACAGTCAGGATGCAGTCTCAGAATGGACACTCAGTCACACAGAAAATGCTTCCTGCTAGATCTGGCCAGATCATATCAGTCACTGTTGGAACAGGATGGGATGAACCCTGAGGTAACATCATAGCCTCTTTGCCAGGTACGCACTGGACAGAGCAGGAACTGGCCCATGTGCCAGCAAGCATTGCCTAATATGAGCTTTGCACATCTGCCCCCCCCCACACACACACCTCTCTCTGTGCCTCCTCAGTGGACCTTCCCAGCCAGGACAGACATTTTCTAGGGTCAGGTGTTTGGGCTCTAGCCCCAATGCTTTCACTGTGATGAACTGGATAGTTTGTCTCTTCTGGTCTTAGTTTCCTTCTCTGTAAAATTAAAAGTGTAAACTCAGTCATTCCTGAGTCTCCAGGGCAGGGACCTCATGACTGTGCCCATCTGTAAGGACCGTACATCCAAGGGGAAGTCTCTCAAACAGACGGGGCTGAGCATGGCCGCCTGTGCTTGTAGTCACGGCACTTTAGGACTGCCAGTGTGAGACTAGCCTGGGCTGAACAGCAAGACTAACGAAGCAACCCCCAAACGACAACAAAACAAACAACAACAAAAACCCAAATACCCCACAAATGCAAAGTAGTATTCAGGAAGGCTTTTCCAAGGGAGTGCTGGTGAAACCCGGAAGACCAAGCTAGAGGTTTCCGGGAAGGAACTGGCATCCCGGGTGTGGAAATACATTCAACACAAGGCCTGTGTTTGTGAAGAAAGGTCACCAGTTTAGAGAGGTCAACCCGGATGGCTGAGGTCTTTGAACTTTGCAAATATTTAACTCACTCCTAAATATTCACGAGTTTTACGTGTGTGTGTGTGTGTGTGCACGCACACACGTGCACAGATGTACTCTGCACGCGTGTGCTAGGTCCAAGGACAATCTCCCTGTCATGCCCCAGGCCCCTTCCTTTCCCTTTTGGTTTGAGAAAGGGTCTCTCTAGCCTGGCACTTCACCCAGTAGGTTAGTTGGCCATCCAGCTCCAAGACTCTGTCTCTGCCTCCTACCTCACAGGTTCCTGGACTACATATGCCTACCACCATGCTTTGCTTTCTACATGGGGTCCCAGGGATCCACATTCAGGTCCTCAGACTTACATGTCAAACTCTTTACCGACCAAGACATCTTTCTAGCCCCCATTTTAATAAAGGGGGGGTCTTACTGTCTATGTTAGGTTGGTCTCAAGTTCAAGCTCCTCCTGTCTCAGCCACCCAATTTCTGAGACTACATGTGTGATGTAATAAGTCTCATCTGCACTTGGGGAGTCTGAGAAAGGGCATGACAGATGTAGGAACTTGAGGACAGTCTGCTTGTGTCAAAGGGAAGGCTCTGGATGACCGGAGGCGGCTGAAGCCTCTCAGTGCAGGAGAAAGAGATAAGGTTCTGGAGGTGCTAGGGGAAGAAAGGCCACAGGACTGATGGGAACTGCCTGACCACTGCTAGGCAAAGGAGGAGATAAGGATATCAGGCTGGATTTGCAACAAAAAATGCATTTTATATTGTTAACTTTTCAAATATCTTTCATTTTTATGTTGTTAGCTTTTCAAATATCTTTCATTCCCTCTTTTTAAAGTGAGGTAACGCATTCACAAAAGTCTTAAAAAGTTCACTGCTAAGCCAGGACTGTACATGTGTGGTGGAGCACATGCCTAGCATGCAAGAGGCCCTGCGGTCTATCTCTGACTCTAAAATAAGGTTACACAAATGTCCTCTGTCATCACTCCCTCTCCATAGAGGCATCCCCAGATGAGTCTCCTATGCCATTTTCCAGAGCGTGTGCACACAAATGCATCCCATCTCCCACACCTCTGATGTTTTCTTTTGGAACACTGTTAGACATGTAGAACAGTTCCTCACCTTACACCATTGCTTCACTGCCCACACTTTTCCACTTTCGTTTAAATCCCACAGACTCAGCCCCAGAGCCAGCAGGCATTTCCCAATGAGTGTACATCCCATTCTGGCTCTCCCTGTATCCTCCTCTGTGAACCTTCCCAGCCAGCCACGGCACTGTCTGTGGTCACGTCCTTGGGTTCCAGTTCTAATGCTTTTATGCTGAATATCAAGTGACTCTTCATCTCTTCTGACCTCCATTTTCTCTTTAAAAATTCTTTTAAATTAAGCCAGGCAGTGGTGGTGCATGACTTTAATCCCAGCATTTGGAAGGCAGAGGCACGCAAGTCTCTGTAAGTTTGGCAACAGCCTGGTCTACAAAATGAGTCCAGGCCAGTTAAAACTACACAGAGAAACCCTGTCTTTTTAAAAATAAATAAATATAAAAAAACAACTTTTAATGAGTGGAGGAACAGTCGATCTAGAGGAGAGGGAAGGTGGAGGAAGGAACTGAACTGGGAGGAGGGGAGGGAGGGGAGGCTTCAGCCAGGATATATGAGAGAAGAATTTAAAAAATTGTTTTTATTAATTACTTTAAGAAGTATTATGTTTTTCTAGACAGGATTCCTCTGTACAGCCCTGGCTGTCCTGGAACTTTCACTATAGACCAGGTTATCTATCCTTGAACCCAGAGATCTGCTTGCCTCTGCCTCTTGAGTGCTGGGGTTAAAGGTGCCCACCACCACCACCTGGCAAGATACATTTATTTTACGTGTATACATGCTTTGTATGTTTATGTACCACTTAAATGCTGAGTACCTGTGGCAGCCAGAAGAGGGAATGAGATCCCTTGGAACTAGAGATGCAGATGGCTATGAGCCACCATGTGGTGCTGAGAACTTGCAGGGGACCTGGGTTCATGCTCCTAAACACTGAGCCATCTCCAGTCCCAAATTCGGCTTTTTAGACTTGGCTGACCTGGAACTCCCTATGTAGACCAGACTGGCCTTGAACTCACACAGTTATGCCTGCCTCTGCCCCAAGTGCTGGGACTAAAGACGTGTGTCACCACACTTAACACTTAGCTCGGTTTTCTCTCTTGCCCTCTTCTGGCCTCAGTTCCTCCCATGTAAAATGAAAACACAGAGAGAAGACCATTCTCTCTCTCTCTCTCTCTCTCTCTCTCTCTCTCTCTCTCTCTCTCTCTCATGTACATGTTCATGAGGATGTGTGTTGTGGGAATTCATCTAAGTACCAGGGATGGTTGCCACGGGAGCCCCTCTTTATTGAAGCTTGCAGTGACTATTTCTGTATATTCAGGTGACAGCCATGTGTGGCTCATAACCATTGTCTCGAGGCCTTCAAAGGATTTTAGGCCTCCTAAGGCTCAACTCAGGTGTAGAAATGAGGGTAAAGGTGCCGTCTTAGTTAGGGTTACTGTTGCTATGATGAAATAATGTGGCCAAAAGCAACTTGGGAAAGAAAGGGTTTATGTGACTTCCAAATCCTGCATCACAGTCCATTGAGGGAAGCCGAGGCAGGAGCTCAAACCAGGGAGGAACTTGGAGGCAGGAGCTGATGCAGAGGCCATGGAGGAGTGCTGCTCACTGGCTTGCTCCTCATGGTTTGCTCAGTCTGCTTTCTTATAGACTTGATGACTACCAGCACAGAGGTGGTACAACCCACAGTAACCTGGGCCCTTCCTATTAACCACTAATTTAGAAAATGCCCTACAGCCCAGTTTTATGAAGACATTTTCTCAGTTGAGGCTCCCTCCTCTCAGGTGACTCTATCTAGCCTGTGTCAAGTTGACACAAAACTAGCCAGCATAAGGTGTCTGATAAAGAAAAATAAGAAGCCAGACATGGGGGTGGAAATACAGTTCAATGGTTAAGAGCACTTGCTGCTCTTGAAGTGACTTGAGTTTTGTTCCCAGGACCATAGAGGTAGCTCACAGCCACCTGAAACTCCAGCTCTAGGGGATTTGACACCTCTTCTAGACTCCAGAGGCACTTGCATGCTGTGCATGCACACGCACGTGCACACACACAAATAAAATAATAACAATAATTTAAACTAGGTATAGTCTCATACATCTACAGTCTGAGCATTCAGGAGGTGGTGGGAAGAAGATCAGGAGTTCAAGGCCTCTGTCAGCTAGAGACTGTCCTACATAAGATCCTTCCCAAAAAAAGGGGGGAGGGTTGGTGGTGAGACTGGGGAGGGGTAACAGCACTTGCCACCAAGCCTGGAGACCTGAGCTTGATCCCTGGGTTCAGTGGGGGAAGGAGAAACTGACTCCTGCCAGCTGTTCTGTCGCATAAACACACACGCTGTGACATGCACGCTGTCCTACTTAGGGTTACTAACGCTGCAATGAAGCTTCATTAGCAGAGCAGCTTGCAGAGGAAAGTGTTTGTTTAGCTTACATTTCCCGAGTCACAGATCATTGAGGGAAGCCACGGGAGGAACTCAAACTGGGCAGGAGCTGATTACAGAGGCTGTGGAGGGGTGAGGCTTACTGCCTTCTCATGACTTGCTCAGTCTGCCTTCTTATAGACCCCAAGACCACTAGCCCACAGGTAGTATCAGCACCCACAATGGGCTGGGCCCTTTCCAATCCATCACCAATTAAGAAAACGCCCCCACAGGCTTGCCTGCCTGCAGCCTGATTTCTTTTTTTCTTTTTCTTTTTCGTTTGATTTTTTTTTTTTTTTCAAGACAGGGCTTCTCTGGGTAGCCCTCACTATCCTGGAACTCTTTCTGTAGACCTGGCTGGCCTCAAAAATCACAAACATCTGCCTGTCCCTATCTCTTGAGTGCTGGGATGAAAGGTGTGTGCCACCACCTTCCAGACCAACTTGAAGCCTGGTCGTATGGAGGCATTTTCTCAGTTGAGGTTCCTTTCTCTCAGATGACTATCGTGTGTGTCAAGTTGACACAAGACTAGCAAGCACACACGCCCACACACATACACAAATAAATAAATTTAGCGATTTTGAAATCCACCAAAACAATAACAATAATAAACTAAGATAAACTTCTCGCTGTGGTGGCACACATTTCTAGCACTCAGGAGGAACAGGCAGGCAGATCTCTATGAGTTTGTTGTTGCTGATTCATTTTTTGAGATAGGTCTCACTATGTAGACCAGGCTGGCCTTGAACTCAGAGAATCCACCTGCCTCTGCCTCCAGAGTGTTGGGTTTAAAGACGTGTGCCACCATGTGCAGGCTTTCTGAGCTTAAGGCCAGCTTGGTGTACATAGTGAGTTCCAGTCAGAGCTAGCACTTCATAGTAAGATTCTGTGTCTGTGAAGGAATGTAATAAAAATTAAAACAGTATTAGTAATAGCAATAATAAGATTAGTCCAGGATGAGCCTGACTGCAACCGGTAGATGAGAAGGGTCTCTGCACAGCCAGGAACTGTGGGCATCTTGCATCTTCATTGTCTTCCATAAGGACTATACCCAGCCCTCTGAGGTGTAGCATTCCTCTTTAGTTGGGGAAACTGAGGCTCAGAGAGGGTAAAATAAGCCAAAGGCCACTCTGCCAGGAGGCTCTGGAACTTGTACCCAGGTGTAACTGGAAAACCAACATCATTCCTTTCCCATAGTGGTGTCAGAATTGGGGGTAGGAGAAAGGACCAGGGGGCAAGGGGGAGCCTGGAAACCGCTACAGTGATGGCTTAGTAACTGTTTGCTTCTGTTTCTACAGCTATGGAGTCAAAATCCGGGCACCTCACGCACTGGTCATGACCTTTCTCTTCAGGAGTGGCAGGTACCTACCCTCTCTGCGGACCATTTGGGAGATGATGTGGTCACCCTCAGGCCAGGGTGGGTGGTCATTTCTAAGCTGGGGCTAGCTTTCCCGTTCCCCTGTCCAGCGCTGATCCTAGCTGATCCTATGTCCCTCACTTGAAAACGCCCGTGACTCCTCACTGTTCTCCAAAGAGACCCAGCTTCCAGGCCTGGCCTTCATAGCCCTCTGAGGTTGACACAGCTAAATGCCTACAGTGTCCAGTGTGGGCTTCCTTGGCATACAAGCCCTGTTCCACTCCCACACGTTTGCCTGTGTGCGTCTGCTTCCAGGGGAGCCTGACCTCTTCTAGTCAGCCTTTATTTCTTCCTGGAAATCTGTCCGGTCCTCTGGGTCACCTTCTCCGGGACCCAGGCTCTCATCTCTCCTCACCTGCTCTATGTTCTGATCTTCTTCTGAGTCCCTATAACTCTTCCCACAAGGCCTCTCAGAGAAGGCCTTGCAGTCCCGTGTTTATGGCTGTAGACACAGGGACTGGAGAGATGGCTTCGGTGGTTAAGAGCCTTGTTGCTTTTTCATAGGACCCGAGTTCAGTTCTTAGCGCTCACATGGTAGCTCCTAACCATCTGTAACTCCAGTCCCAAGGACTCCAACACCCTCTTCCGACTTCTACAGGCGTGCACAGACATGTAGGCAAAGCACTTACATGCATAAAGTAGAAATAAGTAATTTTTAAAAAGAAGAAGAACCATACACAGAGGGTGGCCTAAATTCAAGTTGCAAGGTTTCTGTTTTGGCAGTTTATTTTATTTGTCTTTGTTGGGACTTTTTGCTGTCCAAATGGCATTTTTTCCCTTCTCCCCTCTCTTTCTCTCTCCAGAGCCAGGAACATAGTAGGGAAGCATACTGGCACTGACCCAGGAACACAGTAGACCCAGGAACACAGTAGACCCAGGACACAGTAGACCCAGGAACACAGTAGACCCAGGAACACAGTAGACCCAGGACACAGTAGACCCAGGACACAGTAGTCCCAGGACACAGTAGACCCAGGAACACAGTAGACCCAGGACACAGTAGACCCAGGACACAGTAGTCCCAGGACACAGTAGACCCAGGAACACAGTAGACCCAGGAACACAGTAGACCCAGGAACACAGTAGACCCAGGAACACAGTAGACCCAGGAACACAGTAGACCCAGGACACAGTAGACCCAGGACACAGTAGACCCAGGAACACAGTAGACCCAGGACACAGTAGACCCAGGACACAGTAGACCCAGGAACACAGTAGACCCAGGACACAGTAGACCCAGGAACACAGTAGACCCAGGAACACAGTAGACCCAGGACACAGTAGACCCAGGAACACAGTAGACCCAGGACACAGTAGACCCAGGACACAGTAGACCCAGGAACACAGTAGACCCAGGAACACAGTAGACCCAGGAACACAGTAGACCCAGGACACAGTAGACCCAGGAACACAGTAGACTCAGGACACAGTAGACCCAGGACACAGTAGACCCAGGAACACAGTAGACCCAGGACACAGTAGACCCAGGACACAGTAGACCCAGGAACACATTAGGCGAGCACACTGCACTGAGCCAGGAACACAGTAGGCGAGCACACTGGCACTGAGCTATATGCTCAGCCCTTTCAAATCATTTTTGTTTTGTTTTTGTGGCAGGGTCTCAAATTTTTTTTTTGTTTTATTTTGTTTTGTTTTTGTTTTTCAAGACAGGGAGGCCGGACGGTGGTGGCTCACGCCTTTAATCCCAGCACTCGGGAGGCAGAGGCAGGTGGATCTTTGTGAGTTCGAGGCCAGCCTGGTCTACAAGAGCTAGTTCCAGGACAGGCTCCAAAACCACAGAGAAACCCTGTCTCGAAAAACCAAAAAAAAAAAAAAAAAAAAGACAGGGTTTCTCTGTGTAGCAGCCCTAGCTGTCCTGGAACTAGCTCTGCAGGCTGGCCTCGAACTCACAGAGATCCTCTTGCTTCTGCCTCCTGAGTGCTGGGATTAAAGGCGTACATCACCACCGCCTGGCTCCCAAGTCATTTTTTAAAAACTGAATTTGCTCATTTAGTCACCAAGTGTTTAGTGAACATCTACTGTGTGACAAACACTGTTCTGGCTGCTAAGACTACAGCAGCAAACAAAACAGACAAGGATTCCTGCCCTCCTGGGGTTCATCTTCTAGCAGGAGGTGGCAGAAAATGACCATTCAAAATATCAAGTAAGCCAGGTTAGTGGTGGTGGCGCACACCTTTAATCCCAGCACCCGGGAGGCAGAGGCAGGTGGATCTCTAAATTTAAGGCCAGCCTGGTCTACACAGCAAGTTCCAGAATATCCAGGACTACTCAGAAAAACCCTGTCTTAGAAGAAAAAAAATCAAGGAAGACGAGTTCACAAGATGCTGAAGACCAGGGACGGCCAGAGGTGGGATGGATTGTGCCTGGGGAGTCTGAGAAGCTGGCCACCAAACTGTTGAAAGGGAGAGGCAGCAGCATCATAGCGGGAACTGGGTCAGGCCTGGTCTGGCTCTCGGCCTGAAAGAAGTGCTTGGCTTTCCTTTTAAGCGAGAACAGGAAGCTGTGACATTTTGATCAGGGGCATACCACGGTTTGACTTCCTGCAGGTTTGGGTTTTTTTTTTTTTTTTTTTTTGTAAAGATTTATTTTGATTTTTAATACTGCATCTCCGAATGTGTGCCGTGAGTGCAGGTGCTCGTGGAGGCCAGCAGAGGGCAGTAAGAGTCTTTGGAGCTGGAGTAATGAGCGCCCCTTACACAGGTGTCAGGAACTGATTTTAGGTACTCTGTGAGAACAGTGTGTACTCGTGACCCTGGAGCCAGCTCCTCAGCCCTCTTTGGGAGGCTCTGTGTGTTCTGGTTCCTTTTTGCTTCTTGAGATGTGGTCTTGTTACGATGTCAGCCTGCCCTCCCACTTCAAGGCCCAAGTCCTACCTCAGCCTCCCAAATAGCTGGGAACATAGGTGTCTGGCTTTACATATGTTTAGCAGCGTGAGGATTAGTCATTTGCTGCCTGGTTGGGAACAGCTTGGCGAGGGAGGAGGGGCTGATGGAAGAGCAGAAGTCTGGGTGTCCATTAGCAAGAAACTGTGCAGTGGCCTAATGTGGTGACCTACATCTGGGTGCTGGCCCGGAAGACAGAGGAGCCAGACTAGAGATGTCTTGAAGTCAGTGTCAGATACTTTCTTACTTTTTCAAGGTGTTTTTTGTTTTGTTTTGTTTTGTTTTGTTTTTTTGAGGCAGCGTCTCACTGTGTGGACCCAGATGGCCTCACATTCACAGAGATCCGCCTGCCTCTGCCCTCCAAGTGTGCGCCACTACATCTGGCCTTACTTTTTACTTAGTTTTCGAAACAGGATCTTAGGGTCTCAGGCCTAGGCTGGTCTCCAACTCTCAGTCGTCCTATTTCACCCAGGATTACAGGAATGGGCTGCCATGCCCAACTGCAGTCCAACATTCTTGCTTTAAAAGTGTTACTCATAGCCGGATATGGTGGCGCACACCTTTAATCCCATCACTCAGGAGGCAGAGGCAGGTGGATCTCTGAGTTCCAGACAACCTGGTCTTCAAAGCGAGTTCCTGGACAACCAGGGCTACATAAAAGACCCTGTCTCAAAAAACCAACCAACCAACAAGCAAAGGTACCCATGAAGCTTATGTTGTCAAAAGCCAAGAACCAGCTGCTGCAAGCTTTTCCCACTCACCTGACCGGCTTCTACCATGGCCTCCCTCCCCGTTTTTTCAAGACAGGGTTTTTCTGTGTAGCCCTGACTGTCCTGGTATCCTGGAACTCACGCTGTAGACAAGGCTGGCCTCGAACTCCCAGAAATGCACATGTCTCTGCCTCCTAACTGCTGGGATTAAAGGTGTGCACCACCACTGCCCGGCACCACCACCCCCTTCCTATGGGGGGGGTCCCTATCTAGAATTGAGAGGTACACTCTGCTCTAACCATAAGTTATCTTTGCTGTCCCCTAGTGGGACTGTAAAGATGGCTCAGCCACTAAGAGTGCTTGTTGCTCTTCCAGAGGACTAGAGTTCAATTCTCAGTACCCACACCCAACAGCTCACAATTGCCTATATCTCCAGTTCCAGGGAGTCTAATACTCTCTTCTGGCCTCTGTGGGTATCCACAGACATGCACACACATGCATATACATATACACACACACACTCTCACACATAAATTCACACACTCACACATAAATTCACACACTCACACACTCTCACACATAAATTCACACTCACACATTCACACACACTCGCTCTCATACACACACTCACACATAAATTCATACACACATTCACACTCACACTCTCTCACACACACTCACACACACACTCACACACACACTCACACACACTCACTCACACACACTCTCACACACACTCACACACATTCACACTCACACTCTCTCACACACACACTCTCACACACACACTCACACACACACTCACACACACTCTCTCACACACTCACACACACTCTCTCACACTCACACACATTCACACTCACACTCTCTCACACACACTCTCACACACACACACTCTCACACTCACACTCTCACACACACTCACACACATTCACACACACACTCTCACACACACTCACACACATTCACACTCACACTCTCTCACACACACACTCACACACACACTCACACACATTCACACTCACACTCTCTCACACACACTCTCACACACACACTCACACACACACTCACACACACACTCACACACACACTCTCACACACACACTCACACACATTCACACTCACACTCTCTCACACACACTCACACTCTCATCCTTTAAGGAAAAGGTGGATTGAATTAGTTCCCCTTCATCTCTAAAGAAAGACCAGTGTCAGGTGCTGACCTCCTCACGGCCCTCCGTACACAGCCACACTCAGAGCCTACACCAGCCTCTCTCCATTGCTTGGCTCCCTTTCTGTGCCTGTCCTTAGGGCCTTTGTGTGTGGCGAGTCTTCTGCCTATAAAGCAGCAAGCTCCTCCCGTGGATTCCTTTCCCTCCCTCAGATTCTGTGACCACCTCTTGTCAGGGTCAATGTCAGGTTCCTGTCTTGGTGAACCTGTTTCTTCCTCACAAGCCCCACAAAGGCAGACAGCAGATCTGTCCTGTCTCAGAATTCTCTCTGCAGATCCAGCCCATAGTAGGCACTCATTCATCTGTTCACTCACCCCTCCCATTTGCTGAGGACTTACTGTGTGTCAGGCCCTGTCTGTGCCCTTGGGATGAACAAAAAGAATCTAGACCCTGCCCTGCAGGAGCTTACACTGAGGACAAGGGAACTTTATACATCACCTTACAGATGTTAAATGGGGATGAGAGCCGTGAAGGAAAAGACCTAGGAGGAAAGGGATGGACACTTGTTAATACACTCTGAGGTGGTACACTGAGTAAGGGCCTCTGTCAGGTAAGAGGGCAGCGCCCCCGAGGACATGGGCACCCTCCTCAGAGATCTCAAACTGGGTGGGCTTCAGTGATGTGCTCCTTGCCCAGTTCAGATCTGTATGCACTCTGGGGAAAGCTGCCTGGACCAGAAGGGCCTGCGCTCATGAAGCTTTCTGTTTGTGCAGTCTCCAAGAGAAACTGCAGGCCATCCTGAAAGCCACGTACACCCACTCTCGGAACCTGGCCTGCTTTGTGTTCACCTATAAGAGCCTCTGTGCACTCCAGTCGCATGTGCAAGGCGAGACCCACCAGATGCACTCTTTCCTGGCCGCCTTCCTCGGGGGCCTGCTAGTGTTCGGGAAGAACAACAACGTCAATAGCCAGGTACGGCTTTCCTGTGGGACAGTGAGGGGCGGGAAGTGAAGTGAACTCCTGGCAGCTGTCTGTGTCTGAGGTCTAAGAATCAGCAGTCCCCGTGCGACCTTGGGAAGGTCACTTCTCCCTCAGTTTTCCTATTTGTAAACCAGGCCACAGCTGGACTCCAGGGTCTCCCCACATCAGTGTGTCTACTACTCTTTGGGGCAAGGATTTTGGTGGTGGTGGTGGAGACAGGTTTCATCTTATTCGGGCAGGCCTTGAGCTTGCTATGTAGCTGAGGCTGAGGCTTGCCTTGAACTCCTGTTAGCCTTTTTTTCTTTCTTTTTTCTTTTGTTTTTTTGAGGGTTTCTCTGTGTTATGTTCATAGCTGTCCTGGAACTCACTCTGTAGACCAGGCTGGCCTCAAACTCACAGAGATCCACCTGCCTCTGCCTCTCGAGTGCTGGGATTAAAGGTGTGCGCCACCACCGCCCAGAGAACTCCTGATATCCTTGCCTTATCCTAAGTGCTGAGATTACATGTGCATCAATGATTTGGTGTCGCAATGATTTTTTAAAATTATTTCTTTATGTGTGTGTGCCTCTGTGTGCATGTGTACCTGTGTAGGCCTGAAGAGGGTGTTGTATCTTCTGGAGCTAGAGTTATGTACTGCCCTATGTGTGTGCTAGGAATCGAACTCCGTCCTGTGGAAGAGCAGCAAGCGTTCTTAGCTGCTGAGCCATCTCTCCATCTTAACATTGTTCTTTTTTTGCTGGGCCATGCCTTTAATCCCAGCATTTGGGAGGCAGAGGCAGGCGGATCTTTGTGAGTTCGAGTCCAGCCTAGTCTACAAGAGCTAGCTCCAGGACAGGCTCCAAAACTACAGAGAAACCCAGATTGTTCTTTTAAATGCACTTTGAGCTGGGTGTGGTGGCACACTGAGAGACTAAGGCGCTGATTTGAAGCCAACCTGGGCTGCATCTCAGAACAAACAAGCAGAACTCAGTGAAACAGAAAACAGGAAATTGAAGGAGAAAAACTGGTTCTTTGAAAAGATGAACAGAATCAATAAATCCCTATCCCAGAATCCCCACAAAGATGTTTACTAATACTGGAAATGACAAGGGTTATGTTTAATATCTTGTGTATATTAAAAGGCTTTGAGGAGCCTCAGCCCTCAGGAGGCAGAGGTAGGGGAATCGCTGTGAAGGCAAGGCCAGCCTGGTCTAACAGTGAGATCCAGGACAGCCACAGCTACATAGAGAGACCTTGTCTCAATAAATATTAAGTAAGCAAGTAAATAAATAAAAATAAAAAACATAAGCCCCAAGGGCCTGTGAAGTGTCACAGCAGGCAAAGTTGCCTGCCATTAAGTCTGACAACTTAATTTGGTCGTTGGGATTCACGTGGAAAGAGAGGAAAAGCCCCGAAGGTTTTCCTCTGACCTCTTCACATGGACCATGACAAAAGTGCCCTGCACCCCAAAAAATAAACTAATAATAAATGAAATTTAGATTTTCAAAAGATCTTGAATAACATGGAAAACTATGACTAACTCTGTTTTTACAAACTTGGTATCTGGTATGAAATAGATCCATTCTTTGGGAAGAAAAAAATCTGCCTGGGTCACATGAGAAGGGCAGTGTGACTCTTTTAAAACAGATTAGTTTTCTTTTATGTCCCTGAGTGTTTGCCTGCATGTACGTCTGTTCACCATATATATGCCTGGTGCCTGGAGAGGCCAGAAGAGGGTGTGGGATCCCCTGGAACAGGAGTTACAGATGATTGTGAGTCACCATGTGGATGCTGGGAACCAAACTGGGGTTCTCTGCAAGAGCAGCAAATGCTCTTAACTGCTGAGCCATCTCTCAACCCCCCCCCCACTTTTTTATTTTTTTTGAGACAGGTTCTCATGTTACCCAGTCTGACTCAAACTTAATATATGGCTGAGAGTGGCCTTGAATTCCTGCTGCCCATACTTCCCCAGGGTTTGGATTATAGGCCTGTGCCACCACAACCAGCTACCTTTTTTCTTACTGTGTCTTGCTCTGTACCCCAAGATAGCCTTGAGTCTTGCCAGTTCTCCCTGAGTCTCCAGAGCACTGGGGTTATAGCCATGTATGGCTACCCTGGCTGAATTTTTTCCTCTTATTTCTAAGTAGTATAGAAGTGCCATCAGGTTTTTTGGTTTTGTTTTTCCTGTGAAGGACATCTGGGAAGTTTCTAGCTTTAGGATGTTACAAGTAGAGCTGTGAAGAACGCTCTTGTCCAGAATCTTCTGTGAACATACGTCTTCCTTTTCCTGGGATAAAAGCCCACGAGTGTAATTGTGGGTTGTATGGTACATGCATACTTGGTTTTAAAACAGCCTGCCAAGAAAGAAGAAAGTAAAAAAATCAACAGCCTTCTGCCAAGCCGTTTTTCAGAGTGACGATAGTTTTTACATTCTCACCACAAATATATGAATGTCTGTGCACATTCTCCATATCCTAGCTAACATTTGGTTTGTTGCATGATTTATTTTAGCTGCATTTTAAAGTTTTTTGGTGTGTGTGTGTGATATGATTGTAAGTGTGCACCTGCCGTGGTGTGTGTGTGTGTGTGTGATATGATTGTAAGTGTGCACCTGCCGTGGTGTGTGTGTGTGTGTGTGATTTGCATGATTTATTTTAGCTGCATTTTAAAGTTTTTTGGTGTGTGTGTGTGATATGATTGTAAGTGTGCACCTGCCGTGGTGTGTGTGTGTGTGTGTGATATGATTGTAAGTGTGCACCTGCCGTGGTGTGTGTGTGTGTGTGATATGATTGTAAGTGTGCACCTGCCGTGGTGTGTGTGTGTGATATGATTGTAAGTGTGCACCTGCCGTGGTGTGTGTGTTGTGTGTGTGATATGATTGTAAGTGTGCACCTGCCGTGGTATGTGTGTGTGATATGATTGTAAGTGTGCACCTGCCGTGGTGTGTGTGTGTGTGTGTGTGTGATATGATTGTAAGTGTGCACCTGCCGTGGTGTGTGTGTGTGTGTGTGTGATATGATTGTAAGTGTGCACCTGCCGTGGTGTGTGTGTGTGTGTGTGTGTGTGATATGATTGTAAGTGTGCACCTGCCGTGGTGTGTGTGTGTGTGTGTGATATGATTGTAAGTGTGCACCTGCCGTGGTGTGTGTGTGTGTGTGTGTGATATGATTGTAAGTGTGCACCTGCCGTGGTGTGTGTGTGTGTGTGATATGATTGTAAGTGTGCACCTGTGTGTGTGTGATATGATTGTAAGTGTGCACCTGCCGTGGTGTGTGTGTGTGTGATATGATTGTAAGTGTGCACCTGCCGTGGTGTGTGTGTGTGTGTGTGTGTGTGGATCAGAGGACAGCTCTTGGGAGTTGGTTCTCTCTTTCTACTTTGGACTCTGGAGATTGAACCCAGGTTGTTAGATGTTTGCTGCAAGTGCCCTCAACCCCTACACCCTCTCAGCAGCCCTGTCTTAGCCACTGTGACAGCGCATCTCATTGTGACTTGACTTTGCCTTCCCTAATGGCTAATGCTGTTGAAATTGTCCTCTTATCATTTACTTGCTACCTGTACAACCTCTGGTGAAACATTCATGTCTTTTGCTAATTCTCCAATTGGAATATTTTATGTTTTATTTTGGAGCTCTGAGGACATTTTTCAGATCATCTACATGCTGATGCCGTGCAGATATGCATTGTAAATGTCTGTCATCTGTAGCTTTTCTTTCTCGGAGAAAAGGTCTTGCCCCAGCTGGACTAGTATTTATTATGTATACCCAGCTGGCTTCACAGAGAACAAAAATGAATTTCAAGGCGATCCAAAATATTATTTTCCCTCTGATAGATCATTTTTTAAAATTTTAAACTGTGTATAATTCATTTTAAAGACTTTTAATAAGGGTGCCAGTCATAGTGGTGTATGCCTTTAATCCTAGCACTCAGAAACAGAGACAGGAGGATCACCGTGAGTTTTCGGCCAACTTGGTCTACTTAGTGAATCCCAGGACAACCAGGACTACATAGTGATACCGTGTCTCAAACAAAACAAACAAAAACCACAGTTTCTAATAAGGGGACGGAGAGGTGGTTCTCTTGGCAAAGTACTTATGAAGCAAGCGAAGACCTAACTTTCATCAGCAAAGCCCACATGGAAAGCTTCCACTGTACTGTGGGGCTCACTTGTGATCCCAGCGCCAGGGAAGAGACACAGAAGGAACCTGGGCCTTCTAGCACCAACCACTCTGTTCACATTGGTGAGCGCCATGTAATGAGAGACCTTGTCTCAAAAATAAAAACTGTAAGGAACAACAAAGAGGGTTTCTGAGAAACAACATTTATTAGTGATCTCTGCCTTACATGCACACACACACACACACACACACACACACACACACACACTAAATAAGTAAGCAAGTATTACTTTTTAAAAGCCAGGCACAGAAACACCTACCTGTAAGCCCAGTATTTGGGAGGCAGAGAGAGGTAAGTCCCTGGAACTCTACAGTCAGTAGTATAGCCAGCTTGGAGTACTCCGTATTGAGTGAGAGACTTGTGTCTCAACAAATCATGGGGGGGCAGGGCGGGCCTATAGCTCAAAGAGTAAAAGTGCCTTTAAAATCTTTTAGAAGAGAAAACTCTTGTAAATTGAAAAGGGGAAATTGTTAAAACAGGGTCTCTCTACATAGTCTCAGCTGACCTGAAGCTCACTCTGTGGACCAGGCTGGTCTCGAACTCACAGAGATCCACCTGCCTCTCTGCCTCCTGAGTGCTGGGATTAAAGACATGAAGGCATGTGCTGTACACCTGACTATAAATTGAAAGGTTTATTAAGATATTGGGTTTTGTTGTTGTTTTTAATTACACTATTTGTCAACCTGACACAGAAAAAAAAATAAAAAGAAATTAGGCTAGAGATGGGCATGGTGGCTCACACCTTTAGTCCCTGCCCTTGGGAGGCAGAGGCAGGTGGATCTTTATGAGTTCCAAGCTAGCCTGGTCTACAGAGCAGGCTCTAGGAAAGCTACATAACAGGGGGACCCTGTCTCCAAACAACAAGAACCAAACAAATACTTAGGCTAGAGAGGGAACTGAGAAAGACACTGATGTCGGCCTCTGGTCTCCATACTCACATGTGCGCAGGCACCCAGCACACACGGGATGCACCTACACAACACACGCGCGCGCACACAGAAATAGAAATGTCCAAATGTCTGCTGCACGCCACCTCAGTCATCTTGCACACCACCTTTGAGAGTCGCGGAGCCAGTGAACAGCCATGCCGGTGTCTAGGCTGGGTGGGAAGGGGAAGGTTCCCAGTGGTCGTGCTCACTGGTAACCCTCGGCATTCCCTCCCTGCAGATCAACATGTACCTGCTGTCACGTGTCCTGTTTGCCTTGTGTCGCCTCGGCGTGGAGAAGGGCTACGTCCCTAAACTCAGGTGGGACCCATTCCCCTTGCACACGGCCGTGATTTGGGGGCTTGTGCTATGGCTGTTCGAGTATCACCGGCCCACGCTACAGCCCTCGCTACAGTCCTCCATGACCTACCTCTACGAGGACAGCAACATTTGGCACGACATCTCTGACTTCCTCATCTTCAACAAGAGCAGCCCCTCCAAGTAACACAGCCCGAGGCACTAAAGGAAACTCCTCTTTGCAGACAGCTTCTGCAATGTCCAGCCACTGCCCAGAGTATGGTTCTATTGACACACCCCCTGGAGGATCCTGCCTTCTCAAAGCCATGGGCCTCACACTCCAACCTGTTTGATCCCAACCAGGGTTCCATTTCTGAAACAACAGCCCCGAGTTTCCACCTGCCAGGTACTTTTGGATAGCGCATGTAGCAAGGGGCATGCTAAGGAGTCTGGGGCTTGACTCCAGTAAGGCCAGGGAAAGCGTAACCCTCTCTGGGCCTCAGGCCATTCAACATGGGGTGGGGGACCATTAGAGGAGAGTTTCTTCCTAGTGGGTAGGATAACCCTTCTCTGTGCTGTGTACCAGAGGGCAACAGGTTACAGATACCTTGGGAGGGGAACTAAACCCTTTGTCTAAGGTGTGCCATTGGGGAGTTCCAGAGCCCCATTGTCCAATAGGAACACAACATGAGCCTTATGTGTAGTTACGATTTTTCAAGAGCTAAGGGATAGCTTAGAGGGACAGCACTTGCTAAGCTTGTGTGAGACCCTGGATCCTATCCCCAGCACTGAGAATAAAACCTCTTTTTTTTTTTTTTTTTTTTTTTTTTTTTGGTTTTTCAAGACAGGGTTTCTCTGTGGCTTTGGAGCCTGTCCTGGAACTAGCTCTGTAGACCAGGCTGGTCTCGAACTCCCAGAGATCCGCCTGCCTCTGCCTCCCAAGTGCTGGGATTAAAGGCGTGCACCACCATCGCCCGGCGAGAATAAAACCTCCAGTGGCCACATTTTCATAAAGTATTAAGAAGGCTGCAGCAGTAGGTTGTGAGTTCCAGGCCAGCCTGGGGTACATAAGAAAACTCTATCTCAAAAAATGGAGGCTGAGGCAATGGCTCAGTGAGTAAAGGCGCTTGCTGCAAAGCCTAGCGACCTTAGTTTGAGCCCTGTGTTCTTCATGGTGGCATAGTGGGAAGAGGGGAAGAAAGAACCAGCTCCTGCAAGTTGTCCTCTGACTGCCACATGTGTGCCTTGACATGTATGTGTGCATGCACACACATACACATATGCAATAAATAAAATGTAATAAATTTAATAACATGTAAAATAAATCTTAACAATATACTTTGCCTGCCTGTGTGTGCCTGGTACCAACGGAAGTCAGAAGAGGGAACGGGATCCCTAGGAACTGGAGAAATGGATGCTGTGAGCCACCATGTGGGTGCTGGGAACGGAACCCTGGTACACTGGAAGAGTACTAAGTGCTTTGTTTGTTTGTTTGTTTTTTGAGACAGGGTTTCTCTGTGTAGCCCAGGCTGTCCTGGAACTCACTCTGTAGACCAGGGTAGCCTTGAACTCAGAGACCCACCTGCCTCTGTCTCCCTAGTGCTGGAACTAAAGGTGTGCACCACCACTTGGCATACTAAGTGCTCTTAATCACTAAGCCATCTCTCCAGCCTCAGATTGTAATCATAAATTTTAATTTAATATTTCCAAAAACTTTCTCTTTGCAACATATATTAATATAAAGGATTAATGACAATCTTTCTTGTATTACATCTTCAATGCCGGCAGTGTGTTTTACATGTATCAAGTAACACATCTATCCTCACAGAAGATTCCAGTAGACACTAAACATGTAGAGCTAAAGACACCATCCTAGCCCAGCAGCACCGCTGTGACACATCCCTGGGGAAGGCTCTCCCCGTCTCAGCACTTCAAGGTTTCCTAAGTGAGGATAAGCACAGTAACTCAGTGTCCACATTGGATGCTTTACAGCGACACTGTTGCCACTGCCACCAGAGCCTCCACATGGCAATTTCAGCTTCCTCCTGACTGCTGTATGCCTTACTGTTTTCAGTCCGTACAGTCACCTTGCAAGGCTGGGTGTTGATCCATGTTTTCCAGATGTGGAAACTGAGGGTCAGAGAGGAGATAACTTGTCCAAAATAACATGGCTGCTAAGATATGGCCACGTTTGAATTTGAACCGTCTGCCTGATTTCAAAACCCGTGTGCCTTTTATTTTTCGGCGCCTTGCTTTGAACCTAGACATCCTCAGCCGTGTTTTGCAATCATTGGTTATAGGACATGGTCTCTGAAAGCAACCAGATGCATACAGGAGCTCTCGGTGGCATAAGTGGAAGTTCTTGGGGGTGCTGTGCCATAGGGGGAAATAGGTCACAGTGACCTGGAGAGTCGTGTGGCAGGCAGAATTTTTAAAACAGAACTCTCAGAAAAACCTGGTCCAGAGGCTGTCAATCTAAGACCCTTGGGTTAGTGTAATACATTACTTGTGGGGCCAGAGAGATGTCTGCTCTTCCAGAGGACCCAGGTTCAGATCCTAGCACCCACATGGTGGCTTACAACCACCCCTAACTCCAGTTTCAGGGGACCCGATGCCCTCTTCTGGCCTCTGTGGGCACCAGGCGTGCACATGTGGTACACATGCAAACGTGCAGGCAAGGCACCCACACACATAATATAAAATAAATAAACATAAAAAATACATTACTTCTAACTTGCCCTCCCCTCCTGTTTTTATGTATTTGGAATTACTAGTGGAAATCTGTAGGTGTAGAGTCTGGCTAGGCATGGACACACACACACACACACACACACCTGTATTCACAGCTCTTGGGAGGTGGAGGCAAGAGGATAGGAGTTCAAGGTTATACTACTTGCTACGCAGCAAGTTGGAAACCAGCCTGGACCATGTGAGACCCATCTCAAAAACAAAACAAAACGAAACAAAAAACCAGACAAATGGGTACAATATACATTCTGACCGAGGGGTATGGAATGGGTCCAAGTGTCTGGCTGTCCTACGAGTCCCCCACACTGTGGGTGCTGTGCTGTGAGCCCCAGCCTGAGTGCTGAGTGGCAAGAGGCAGATTCAAGCGTTGTTATCCTGGGAAGCTCTGGGGTAGCGGAGGTGGCTTCTGTCTGACTCCCCAGTGCTCTCAACTGGAGCTCACTGCACGCTCAGAGCAGACCACTTGGAGGAGCTTCTTATTGGGCTACTCTGAAGATGAACAACCTGAGACTGGGGGGAGGCCAACCTTTGGCAGGCAGGTTCAGCCTAGCAGATGGTGGGGAGCCCTACCGTTCTTCCTGTGCTCATCTGACCTCTGCAGTTGCCACTCCTATGTCTCCTGTCTGAGGGCTCCCACCGCAGGTGCCTGCTTTACCACTCTGCAGCAGGCCTACATTTTAGGGATTAACATGCTTCTTGGGCAGCATCAACCCAGCACTGAGAAATACCATCATGAGCAGCTCCCAGCACTTGGAGGAGACACCCCTCCATACACTGTGTGCTGATTGCTAGACCTCCAGAAGGACTGGGCTCCGGGTACCCACGGTGGACATTATCTCTCTCATGCCTCAGCCGTTGCATCCTGGGACCACTTCACATTTAAACTATTGCACTCAAATCCTCACCTTGGGGTTTATTACCCAGGAAACCCAAATTAAAAGTGACCGCTGGTCAGCAGGTTGAGAGGCAGTACACATGGTTGCAAGGGACAAGGGCTTTGGAAGCAGCATTTCCAGGCTTGAGGCCCGACCTATTGGTGATGTAGCCATCTGTGCCTCATCTGTAAAGGAGGCGTTGTGATGATCCACGCCTCGTGGTGTCTGAAGGGATTAAGTGATACGTGTCAAGTGAGCATTCAATAAACGTTGCTCTTATTTCCAGGAGAACAAACGCAGGAGGAAGCTGGTTGAAAGAAATAAGTGTGCCCTGTGTTTAGCCTGCCCTTCTCCCCAGCCAGCCTTGGCCTCCTGCCCCGACATCCCCCCCTCTGCTGTTGGGGGTGGCCGTCTCCACCGCCGACTGGCTCTGCTCTCTAAGAATAGGCTTCCCTCGCAGATGGCATCTCTCTGGATCTTGCCAGAGCATCTGGTGCCTCCAACTGCACACTCCAGGGAGGAAGGCGGGGTGGTCCCCACAGAGAGGAGCAGAACCTGTCTTCAGCAGCTTTGGGAAGAGCCCAGCTTCACTCCTTCCTAGCTGATCCTCCATTTTTATGATCTGTATGTAAGGATTGCCAAGGGGCCATTGGCACACAGGGAGGAGCTACTGATGTTCCTGAATGGGACTTCCAGAAACAGCATAGTAGATTAATCTGCAATTACTGCCTGCTACATTTGTATGAAGTCTTTTGACCTGCAAGACTTAAAAAAATATCTTATTACTTAATTAACTTTCGCCCTTTGTGGGGGATTTTAGTTTTGTTTTCTAAAGACAGGGCATCACGTATCCCAGGCTAGCCTCTAACTCAGTATTCAGCTGACACTGGCCTTGAACTCCTCATCCTTCTGCTTCCACCTCCTAAATGCTGGGATTGCGAGTATGTATCACCACGACAGTTTCCCTCTGTGGCCCAGGCTGACCTGCAGCTCCCTGGGTAGCCTAGGTTAGGCATGGCAGTATATTCCTGTACCTTCCTGTAGTCCTCACTTTTTGAAGGCAGGGACCAGAACTACACGAGAGAGTAGTGCTCTCTCTCAAAACGTGCCCCTCTCCCTTAGTATAATACTCAGAGGTGGTGCACTCATTTGATCCCAGCATTTGGGAGGCAGTGGCAGGCCCGTGAGTTTGGAGACCACCCGATCTGCATAGTAAGTTCCAGGCCAGGCAGGGCTATATAATGAGACTCTGTCTCAGACGAAACAAACCATCAAGCTGTGTAATGGGGAAAGTCAGACTCTCTCCTATACCTAAGCTCAGTCCTGGCTCAGTGGCTGAAAGCACTGACTGCTTTTCCAGAGGACCCAGGTTGATTCCCAGCACCCACATGACAGCACACAACTGTTCTATCAATTCCAGGGCATGCAGCACCCTCTTCTGGCCCTCTCAGGTACTACCTGCACATGGTGTACAGGTATAAAAGCAGGCCTACTCCCCCTAGGTATAAAACACATACTCAGGTTTTTCTTCTACCACGTACCTGTGGGCCATGTTGTCCCAGAGGCCATGTTGATGTCCTTGACCTGTGCCGCCACTAAGGACTACTATGTTGATGTCTGTGGGCTGTACAACCACAGAAGACCGTGCTGAGGTCTGTGGCCATGCTAAAACTACAGAGACCAGGTGCGTGGCCATGGTCCATGCTGTTGCTAGAAACTACGTGGAAGTCCATGATTCGTTCTCCCAGGGACTGGAAAGGGCAGGGACGCCACTTCTGCAGTGGTAACAATGGCTGCTGACTCACAATTGAGAAAGAGGGACATAGAAGGCTTCTGTCACAGCTTCTCCCCACCCCCACTTGCCTTTAATCCCAGCACTCAGGAGGCAGAGGCAGGGGGATCTCTGTGAGTTTAAGGCCAGCCTGGTCTACAAAGTGAGTTCCAGGACAGCCAGGACTGTTACACAGTGAAACCCTGTCTCGGAAAACTAAAAGAAAATTATGATAAGGATGCTGAAGTGTAGCTCTCCATAACCAATGTCAGGGGTTTGGGTGGGGAAGGACTCAGTTTTTGTTTGGGGGGTTTTGTTTGTTTTTTGAGACAAGGTTTCTCTGTGTAACAGTCCTGGCTGTTCTGGATCTTACTCTGTAGATCAGGGTGGCCTGGAACTCACAGAGATCCCCCTGCCTCTGCTGATATTAAAGGGGTACGCCACCACGCCCTGCAGGAGTCCGTTTT